GCGAAATCCATCGCGGCAAACCCCGCGTATTCCCGCAGCTTCGCATCGACGAGGCTGACACCCTCGAACAGATCCGGCCAGTCCATCTCGGAAATTGTGCGCAGACTCGTGATGACGTTTCGCACCGAGACGTTGGAAGCGCCCTGACGTTCCTGTGAATGGTGCACAACAAGATCAATATCACTGCCCTGCGCCGCCAAACGCTCCTCGAGCCAGCCGATAGCCGGAGTGATGAGCGGATCGCAATCTCGAAGCCGCTTGGCCAGTTGAGCCGCAAAGACTTCGGACATGCGCCCATTCAGGCCAGCTTCTAAGTAGGCTAGCGGGTGGGTCTGCGTGTTCCCCGCGCCGAGAACACGGTCTGCAAGCTGGTCAGCCTCATGGCGTCTTTTGTGACCCATGCGGATCTGATCGGAGAGGCGCCGGAGATTTTCCAGAAGAACGAGGCGCAGCGTGATTGGAATCGCCCAGAGTTCGCCGATGGTCAGGGGCTGCACCTGTTGGTAGGCGCGGATAAATCTGGATAGCATCACCGCATCGAGGTGGCTGTCCGTGTGTGCAACATAGGCCCAGACCAGTCCGAAGACTCGCGGATAGCCTCGAAACGCGCCATCTGAGAGCTTTGGCAGCGTTCGGTAGTAACTGGCCGGCAGATCGGTGCGGCTTTCGCCGATTTGCGCCGCGACCTGGTGATAGTTATCCAGAAGCCACTGAGCAGCAGGCACGATCGGGTGACCGGCTGCAAGTTCAAGATTGCAGGCCTTGTGCGTGGCCGACAAGGCAATTGCATTTTCTTCCAGCCGGCGCTGCAACGACACGACACGTGGTGGTTTAAGGGTGACGTCTTGTTGTTCTGCCAGACTCGCCGCATGCTGTTCCAGACGTTCGGCCCCGAACATCTCTGCACGTACAGGGTTGATATCGTTCCAAGGGGCTTTGCTTGCCCGTCGAAGCGGCAACCAACCGGGAAACCCGACGATCATCAGGAACCTCCGATGCTAATTTTGGCCGAACATCGAGCAGAGAAATGGCGGTGCTGCATGCAAGATGCCGCCGGAGGAAATTTACAGGCCGCAGCAAAGCCTATTCACGATCAAGGATCTGTCCGCGCAAGCCCTATTGGCAGCAGCGTTCAATGCCCGGTTAGATTGGCAATTGTCCTGCCACAAAGCCAGTTCAGGCTATTTTTGCCTTCGGTTTCGTCTCGAAGGTCAACTCCTTGTTGAAAGAAGTTGGCGGGACAGGCGTGGTCTTTTTCCGTTTCGGCTTTCTGTCTTCTCTGCCACGGCGGCTTTTGCCCTTTGCCATTTCGTTTTCCTGTGCTCGCGTCTGAAGGCCATTTTCCGGCGTGTTTAAGCGCTTCGGATAGTGTTCCGATCAGTTGATTTTGTCTTTGACAGCTCAACCTCGATGCTTCGGCAGGTTTTTCAATTCGACCTTGCTCATCTTGGTGTGAGCAAGGACTTTTCCGTTTTCATCGCGCATGAAGTCGATGCGTGACACATCAAGGGCAACTTGCTTGACCCCGATTCCGAAAAAGCCGCCAACTTCAATGACCGCCCTTGCATACTGACCGGTGCCGAGCATTTCGGAGACATTGCCCATCACTTTATCATCGGGTCCGTAGATATCGGTGCCTTTGACGTTAGCCGCAATGATCTCGCCGGCCTGAAGCGGCTCATGTGATGAATGGTCCATGGGACCTCCTGGGTGTAGCTGGAGTGCGCGATAGGCGGCAGGCCCGATCAGAGTTGCCAGACAGGTAAAAGTGACTTGTCAGTAGCTGTTTGGTGCCGGGTTTAATGGCGTCGCCCATCTTTGAAGCTGTGTGACAACATAGCAGCAGCGGTGGCGATGCATGCTGATGTGGGTTAGCGTGTCGTCACATTTCCGGCTAATCCGCAGCCAGATGTTCGGTTGCGGGTCTCTGAACCGTGTCGGCGGCGGTGATGCAAACTTTTGACCGCGCGTTTATGTAGAGATCGACGAAAACCACCCCGGTTTCCGGCTGGCCAACTGCAGCGACGTCAGGCGGCCAACGATACCGGTGAAGATGCGATCGGCCGATTGGACCGGCAGGCCGCCTGTTACCGGCTGCTCACAAACTCAAACGTGCCATCTGCTTCCACGAACGCGGGGAAATCAACAACCGCCCGATCAGAACCAAGAACGAACTAGGATCTCCTGCACTCAGACAAGGGGGCGGCATGATCGAACCATCCCTATCCAAGGCACTTGAGCCAGACCCTGCGTACGAAGGTTACGATACTAGTGAATAGCCCCGCGTTTTCTAGACGCCCTCGGCTTTCATTTTCTGCTGCCGTTCGAACTCTATGGGCGACAGCATCCAGTTTCTGACGTGTTTGCGCCTTGGGTTGTAGAACATCTCGATGTAGTCGAACACATCCCGCCTTGCGTCTTCGCGGGTTTTGTAGGTTCGCCGCCGCACCCTTTCCCGTTTGAGCAGGTTGAAGAAGCTTTCGGCAATAGCGTTGTCGTGACAATTACCGCGCCGGCTCATTGAGTGAGCCAGGTTGTGAGCGCGAAGGAATGACGCCCAGTCCACGCTTGTGAATTGGGATCCCTGGTCAGAATGGATAAGGACCTTGTTCTTCGACTTCCTCCGCCATACGGCCATGAGCAATGCCTGCAACACGACTTCCGTGGTCTGACGGCTTTGCATCGACCCATTGCCCGGCAGGCGTTGCTTGCAACGCCGAGAGGAGGCCCACAACACGACGAGAAAAGAGGTCGATCACGACAGCAAGATAGGCAAAGCCTTCCAGTGTCCTGATGTAAGTGATGTCTGTCACCCAGACCCGGTCGGGTTGCTCCACATCGAACTGCCGGTCGAGGCTGTTGTCGACGACCATGGAAGGTCTTCCGCCATAGCTGCCCGGACGACGCCTATATCCGATCTGGGCCTTGATCCCGGCCAACCTGGTAAGACGCGCGACACGGTTCAGGCCGCACGTCTCTCCCTGATCGAGCAGATCGTCATGAAGCTTGCGATATCCATAGACCTTGCCGCTCTCCTTCCACGCCCTGCTGAGCAATTCCGTCTGGCGGATGTCTTCTCGGGCCCGTTTGCTCAGCGGGTTCTTCAGCCAGGCATAAAAGCCGCTTGGATGGACGCGCAGGCAACGGCACATCGCGCGCACCGAAAACACGGAGCGATGCTCAGCGACGAACGCGTACCTCACTTTGCATCCTTGGCGAAGTACGCGGTTGCCTTTTTTAGGATGTCACGTTCCTCGGTGACCCGAGCCAGTTCCTGCTTCAACCGGCGGATCTCCACAGCTTGATCGCCTTCGCCTGGATCGGGTGACTTGGAGAACTTCTTCTTCCACGCATAAAGAGAATGGGCGCTGACGCCCAAACGCTTCGAAACCTCCGCAACCGGATAACCGCGCTCGGTGATTTGTGCCACCGCGTCCCGCTTGAAGTCGTCACTGAAATTGCTCGTGCCCATCATGGCCTCCTTGCCTCAAAATTAGGAAAGAAGGCGTCTACAAATCTAGGGGCTATTCACCGGGGAGAGGGTCGGTTCTCAAACTTATCCTTGAGAAAACAATGGATAAGCGAGACTACAGTTTCTCGGTCTTTACTTTAGTTACTGATCTGTACTCTGCATGGTGGCACAAGCACCCAGATCAATCAAAGATAATATCATATTATGAACTAATAATTAGATCTCTTGTGGACAGTGGTGACCTAAAATCGAAGAACGGAAGTTCGTATTACCTCAATCCAAAAGCACTAGATACGCTTACAAAATACGAAGACGAAGAACAAAGACATGCAGACAACTTGCGAACACAGTCAAAGCTGGCTGTTTTGACTGTATGTTTGATAATTGTAGGTGCCACGCAGGCTCTGATTGCTTGGATGAATTCATAACTCTATAGCGGCACTATCTCCGTAATCACGTGGGGGTGTGTTCAGAAGCCGAGTGTCTATGTTTTAATGAAAACTATGTAGGACGAATTACACGAGCCGAAGTTGGTGTATACGCCGGAGGCTCAGATGATGCACCAGATATGCACCAGTTTCCTGTCGTCCGCTGACGACATTTGCCAGCATCAGCACAATAGGCCTTGTTGATTGCCGTAGTTATGCTATTGTTTTTATTGGGAAACGATGGTGCTGCCGGAGAGATTTGAACTCTCGACCTCTCCCTTACCAAGGGAGTGCTCTACCCCTGAGCTACGGCAGCATATGAGGGCATCTTGAAGAGCCCCGCGTTGCCGGAAATGGCAAAAAGCCCGGGCATTGAGACGCGAATGCTGTTCCCGACCAGCGGTGCCGCCCGGAATGAGGGGGCTTGTGCCATAAGAGCCTGCTGGAGGCAAGCCGTCATTTGGATTTTTTTTGGCAAGGGTCGCCTTGGAAATTGGGGCGCGAATCTCAAATGCAATTTCGTTCTGAATCCCGGCTGAAAAACAGTGTAAAACCTGCTTGTGGATATAGTCTGTAAAGACGCGTTTTCGGGGTGTATTCAACAGGCTGCCGCATCCTGTTTGCAACCGGGAAGAAGCGCAAGCGGGACGATATTGAACCGGCGTGCTGTTTCATGCCGCAAGTTCAGGCCGACTTTCCCTGGCGCCTGCCTGTTGATAGAAGACGAGGGACCAGAAAGGACGTTCACAACGCCCATGAGTGAAAAAGATCAAAAAGGCCAATCGGTTGACGATAGCGGCGCAAATTCCTCGCAAGACAGTGATGTGTCCAAGGCAAAGCCTGGCTCACCTTCACGGGACGATCGACTTGCCGAGGCCCTGAGAGCAAATCTGCGCCGCCGCAAAAGTGCAGCCAGGGCCCGCAAGCAGGACTGAAGTGCTGGAGATCGGGATCGGGAGCTTGTGAGCTGTCACGAAAACGCCCGATGTCCGGCCAATCGCCGCCTTGCATGGGTCACAACTTGTGTGTAGACCGCAGGTTTGGTGAGAGATTGTTCTAAGGGATGGCCGCTGGGGAAAGCGGCCGGGTTCGGGGTTCATATGGATAGCATCAAGGTCGTCGGCGGCGCGGAGCTGAACGGTATCATCCCGATTTCCGGGGCAAAGAATGCGGCATTGCCGCTCATGATCGCTTCGCTTCTGACAGACGAAACCCTGACGCTTTCAAATGTACCGCGATTGCGCGATGTCGCGCAGTTGATGCAGATTCTCTCCAACCACGGCGTCGACTATTCCGTCAACGGCAAGCGCAGCGGTCAGGACAACCTGGCAGGCCAGACGCTTAACCTGACCGCCCGTGAAATTGTCGACACGACGGCCCCTTACGAACTGGTCTCCAAGATGCGGGCCAGCTTCTGGGTTATCGGCCCGCTGGTTGCGCGCATGCACGAGGCGCGTGTTTCGCTTCCCGGTGGTTGTGCAATCGGAACGCGCCCGGTCGATTTCTTTATCGACGGACTGGCGGCGCTCGGTGCCGAGATCGAGATCGAGGGTGGTTATGTTGTGGTCAGGGCACCAGGTGGCCTGAAGGGAGCGCGTGTCGAGTTTCCCAAGGTTTCCGTGGGTGCAACGCATACCGTCATGATGGCGGCGACCCTCGCACACGGTGAGACGGAAATCGTCAATGCCGCGCGCGAACCGGAAGTGGTCGATCTGGCCCGTTGCCTGAAGGCCATGGGCGCCAGGATTGAGGGGGAGGGGACATCGACCATCCGGATCCAGGGGGTTCCGCGTCTTCACGGTGCTCACCATGCCGTTGTTCCTGACCGGATCGAGACGGGAACCTACGCCATGGCGGTGGCCATGACAGGCGGTGATGTGCTTCTTCAGGGCGCTCGCACGGATTTGTTGGAGGCAGCTTTGGACACGCTGCGCCAGACCGGAGCCGACATCACCCAGACACCGGATGGCATCAAGGTCTATCGCAATGGCAACGGTATTCAGCCGGTCGATGTCACCACGGAACCTTTCCCGGGCTTCCCGACCGATCTGCAAGCCCAGTTCATGGCGCTGATGACCAAGGCAGGCGGCACCAGCCAGATCACCGAAACCATTTTTGAAAACCGTTTCATGCATGTCCAGGAACTTGCCCGTCTCGGCGCCCAGATCCAGGTCGACGGCCGCACTGCGACGGTCGACGGCGTGTCAACGTTGCGCGGCGCACCCGTCATGGCAACCGATCTCAGGGCTTCCGTTTCGCTCGTGATTGCAGGACTGGCAGCCGAGGGCGAAACAACCGTCAACAGGGTCTACCATCTCGATCGTGGTTTTGAGCGCCTGGAAGACAAGCTCACCCGCTGTGGCGCGCAGATCGAGCGGATTTCCGGTTAAGACAGATACCGGGCTGCGATCCTGAACTTGATCCGCCGGCGGCTACACTTGAGGGGCAGGCGAACCGGTTATTCCGCCTGCTGACGTGCGATTACACGGCCCCTTGAGGTAAAGGAGGGACCGGGACCGCCGCTGCCGCTTGTCATGATCGCCTCGGCAATCGGGCCGAGAGTGGGTTTGCCGGCCGTCCAGACCACTATGAAATTTGCCCCGACGCCACCGCTGGTGTCGTTGATCGGAACAAGCACGGTCTTTGACTGCAGCGGCGCAAGTTCGAACGGAGCTTCAAGCAGGCTGCGCAGCAACTTTCCGTCTTCGCCGTGGTAATCGACCCTGGTCAGTGTCAGGGTCGTGTCCGGATCGACATTATGCACCGCAAGCGTAGTTGCGAGCAGGTCCGAGCGGTTCGGATAGGAGAAGATCCTGGAATAGGCAGGCACATAGATCGTTTCGCCAAGAACCTTTTCGGTGACGTCCTGTGCTGACGCGGCAGCTGTCCACAAAACAGCAAGACTGAAAAAGAGGCCGGACAGCGATTTGAACATGGCATTCCTGACAGCGAAGGGTATTTTGACCTGAACGCACTGTCCTAGATGCTTGCAGCGATTGCAAGCCAGCGCGGCCAGCGATATTGGCGCGGTCATCATTGGGCAGTCAATCTGGCGAAGAGCGGGGGAATAGATGGGTGCACAGACAATCAGGTTCCTGATCCAGGTTTGTTTTGCCCTGGCTGGATTGCTGGCGGTTGTGTTTGTCGCTTCGCCCTTCGGACCGACACTTGGTTTTTTTCTTCTGGTGTTCGGTCTCTGGCTTGGTCGCAGGGTGTTCAAGCGCATCGCAACACTCGATGAAATCAGGCAGGATCTGCGTCAGCGCGTGGATGACGGCCCCTGACGCGCCCTGTCGAAGTTATTCGGCGTTGCAAAACGCTGATTTCCGCTTTAGGTCATCTCCCTTGGGATAATGCCAGACACGCCCTATATGCGGTCTGCCGAAAACAAGACTAACCGGATCAGAATCAGACCGCTATGGATCAGCTGAAACTTGCCGCCCTCGACCAGGAAGACCTGCAGGTTCTTTCCACCCACTTGCAGGACGCCGTAATGACGGTGGCGGACATCCGCTTTCTGCCGAAGGAGAAAAAGGCGGTCTTCATCGTGAACCGCTTCGTTTGGGACAAGGAGGCGGACAAGCGTACGAGGGAACACGAGCGTCGCAGATCCGCCCTTGCTGTCGGGCAGGTGACAGGCATGAAGGTGCAGAACATCCGGCAGGAAGCCAAGGGCGTGGTGCTGGAATTGCTGGCTGTCACGTTTGAGGCAGCAGATGAGCCTTCAGGCAAAATCCAGCTCGCTTTTGCCGGTGGTGCCAGCATTGCGCTGGACGTGGAGTGCATAGAGGCGCAGCTTTCCGACCTCGGTGCCGCCTGGTCGACCCCCAACCTGCCGCAACACGACCTCAGCTGACCGATGATCGGGACTAATTCGGTGCCTGGCACCGTTTGTGATGGAGATGCGCGTGGTTCTACGCCTAAACAGCACCGAAACGGGATTTGAGGAACGGTTCCAGGACCTTCTGGCGGGCAAGAGGGAAGTCTCGGAAAATGTCGACCAGGTGGTTCGCGACATAATCGAAGATGTTCGCGCGAACGGCGACAGGGCCGTACTGGACTATACCGCAAAATTTGACCGACTCGATGCAGCCGGCATGGCGGAGCTCACAGTCTCCGGGCAGGAAATTGAGAAAGCAGTGAAGGAAGTGCCGGCGGAAACGCTGGAGGCCCTGCAATTCGCTCATGACCGGATTCATGCGCATCATTCTCGCCAGGTGCCCAGGGACGAACGTTATACCGATGACATCGGTGTGGAACTGGGGTCGCTCTGGACAGCGATTGAGGCTGTTGGCGTCTACGTGCCTGGCGGCCTGGCAAACTATCCGAGTTCGGTGCTGATGAACGTCGTTCCGGCGCGTGTTGCCGGTGTCGATCGCATCGTGATGGTGGTGCCAAGCCCGGACGGCGTTCTGAACCCGCTCGTTCTGGCGGCCGCCAGAGTTGCCGGCGTCACCGAGATTTACCGTATTGGCGGTGCCCAGGCCGTTGCCGCTCTTGCCTTCGGTACTCAAACCATTTCTCCGGTTGCCAAGATCGTCGGTCCCGGAAATGCCTTTGTTGCTGCTGCAAAGCGCCGGGTGTTCGGCACCGTCGGCATCGACATGATTGCCGGGCCTTCCGAAGTTCTGATCGTTGCGGATGGCGACAACAATCCCGACTGGATTGCCGCCGATCTGCTGGCTCAGGCCGAGCACGATACGGCCGCCCAGTCCATTCTGATGACAGATAGCGAAGATCTGGCCGTTCAGGTGGAAAGAGCAGTGGACGCGCAGCTGAAGACGTTGCCGCGCGAGCAGGTGGCAAGGGCCAGCTGGCAGGATTTCGGTGCGATCATTCTGGTGGAGAACCTTGAGGCCGCAATGCCGCTGGCCAACCGGATCGCGCCCGAACACCTGGAGCTGGCTGTTGCCGATCCGGAAGATCTCTTGAAAAAAGTGCGCAATGCGGGGGCAGTTTTTCTCGGACACTATACGCCGGAAGCGATTGGTGATTATGTCGGTGGCTCCAATCACGTGTTGCCCACGGCGCGGTCTGCGCGGTTTTCCTCAGGTCTCTCCGTTCTGGAATTCGTCAAGCGCACCTCGATCCTGAAGTGCAATGCGGATAATCTGCGGGCTCTTGGCCCGGCGGCAATCACACTGGGCGAATCTGAGGGGTTGTCGGCGCACGCGCGCTCTGTTTCCATCAGGTTGAACATGTAACGGAGATTCTAGGAGGCTTCTCGCACATGAGCGATACGCAACCGGAAACCAGTTCGCAATCCGCCGGCAGTCGGCTGGTGGATATCGTTTTGGACGAAGCCTCCATTGCGCGTTCCACCCCGGAAGTCGAGCATGACCGGGCAGTCGCGATCTACGATCTGATCGAGGAAAACAGTTTCCAGCCAGTGGGGCACCCACCCGCGAAATATGTTCTCGACCTTGCGGTTGTCGAAAAGAAACTGGTGTTCCGCATAAGAACAGATGACGAGCGTGAGGTTGTCACTCACGTCCTGTCACTGTCGCCGCTTCGCAAGATCGTCAAGGATTATGACCTGATCTGCGAAAGCTATTATGAAGCCATCCGCCATGCGACGCCCAGCCAGATCGAGGCGATCGATATGGGGCGGCGCGGAGTTCACAATGAAGGATCGGTTATCTTGATGGAACGGCTGGAAGGAAAGATCGCGGTTGACATGCAGACAGCGAGACGCTTGTTCACGCTGGTCTACGCCTTGCACTGGAAAGGCTGAGACAAGTGACCGGGCCGGGCCTGCGTCCGACTGCGGTTCTGTTCGCCTGCGGGATGAATTCCGTTCGCTCCCCGATGGCCGAAGGTCTGATGCAGAAACTGTTCCCCGGCCGGATCTACGTGCGCTCTGCCGGTGTCCGGCAAGGCAAGGTCGACCCCTTCGTGGATGCGGTAATGGCCGAGATCGGTGTCGATATGGGCAAACATCGGCCAAAGACCTTCGAAGATCTGGACGAATCTGGATTCGACCTGATTGTCACCCTGGCGCCCGAAGCCCACCACAAGGCTCTCGAGATGACCAGGACGGATGCGATGGACGTGGAATACTGGCCAACCATGGATCCGACACTTGCAACGGGGAGTCGCGAACAGATCCTGAACGAATACCGGACCGTGCGCGATCAGCTGATGATGCGAATCAAGAAACGCTTCGACTGGTCGCCATCGGCGGCCGACTGAGTTTTCTTTTTTGTAAGGATCGGAAAGAACTGTTCACATTCTGACAGTAATCCGTTAGTTTCCCCGGCACCCGCGGGCAGGACCCGCTTTATTCAGGATATCAAATGGCTAAAGAAGAAGCTCTGGAGTTTCCGGGCGTCGTAACAGAACTCTTGCCGAATGCGACGTTCCGCGTAAAACTGGAAAACGATCACGAAATTATCGCTCACACGGCAGGGCGCATGCGCAAGAACCGAATCCGCGTTCTGGCGGGCGACAAGGTTCTTGTCGAAATGACCCCTTACGATCTCACCAAGGGGCGGATCACCTACCGCTTCAAGTAGCGGTCTTTTCAAGGTGGTTCCGGCTGCAAGGCTCTTTCTCCCATGACCGATGATTCTCCGCTCATTCTGGCATCAGCTTCGCCGCGCCGCCTCGCGCTGCTGCAGCAGATCGGGCTCGATCCCGATCACCTCATGCCCGCCGACATTGACGAGACGCCCAGGAAGCATGAAACGCCCCGCAGTCTTGCACTGAGGCTTGCCCGCACCAAGGCCGAGGCCGTTCGCCAGTCGGCGGATGCCTCACCGGAGCTCAAAGGGGGTATCGTGCTTGCGGCTGACACGGTCGTCGCTGTCGGCCGTCGTGCGCTGCCGAAGGCAGAGCTGACCGAGCAGGCACTGATGTGCCTGTCGCTTCTTTCCGGCAGGGGGCATCGGGTCTTCACCGGTGTCGCCGTTGCAGAAGCCAACGGCAAGGTTCGCTCCAAGCTGGTTGAAACACGTGTCCGGTTCAAGCGCCTGTCCCGCATGGATGTCGACGACTATATTGCGTCAGGAGAATGGCGAGGCAAGGCGGGTGGCTATGCGATCCAGGGCCTTGCCGGCAGTTTCGTCGTCAAATTGGTGGGATCTTATCCCTCTGTTGTCGGACTGCCTCTGGTCGAGACGGCGAACCTTCTGAGTGCAGCCGGCTATCCGGTTCATCAGGGCTGGGCGACAGCTGCCGCCTGATGGCAGATAGGGGCAACCCGGCCAAACACTGCGAGGCATGATGACCGTAAAAGACAACGAGACATCGGTTCGGCGCATGCGTCCTTGTCCGATCTGTTCGAAACTGTCGACAAGGGAAGACTACCCCTTTTGCTCGGACCGCTGCGCCAAGGTGGATCTGAACCGCTGGTTTTCAGAGGGTTATACGATCCCTGTGGTCGAAACCGACGACATCGACGAGAGCAATATTCCCGAAGACTGACTTTCCGGACACAAGCCGGACTGTCCGGATCTCCGCATCGGGCGCGCAGTCCGGAATTCCCACGTCAGACATTTTACCGAATTCTCGCGTCGCGTTGGCGCGCGAAGCTTCTCCGGTTAAATTAATTTTTCTTTATCTCGTGCCGTCCACTTGCGGTGGCAACAAATCTGTTCAAAGATTTCGGGCACCGGCTGACCCGGCCCGATTTCCCGGTAGTGACAGGAGGTTATGGCGCTGTGAATTCATGCGCTCCTGTGACCAATCGGAATATCGAGCTCGGCAGGTGCGATACCCGCCTTTTGCGCGGAACCGAAAAACAACCAGAATCCAGGGCGAGGGTCCGATGAAGAACCGATTTCTTACCGCTGCAGTGTTGTCTCTCTCGACGGCGCTGTCTTCGGCTGCATATGCTGATTATTCACTGTCGATACTGCATTTGAACGACCTGCATTCACGTATTGAGTCGATAAACAAGTACGATTCCACATGCGACGCGGAGGACGAAGCGGAAGGAAAATGTTTCGGTGGTATTGCCCGTATCAAGACGAAACTCGACGAACGCCGCAATGCGCTCGAAGCAGATGGCAGGAATGTCATTGTCGTAGACGCAGGTGATCAGTTCCAGGGTTCGCTGTTCTATACGACGTACAAGGGCGACGCGGCGGTCGAATTCCTGAACGAAATGAATATTGACGCCATGGCGGTCGGCAATCACGAATTCGACGATGGCCCGGAGGGTCTCGCCAATTTCATCGGCAAGGCGACGTTTCCGATCATTTCCGGAAATATCGAGGTCAGCGCCGAGCCGCTGCTGAAAGGTAAGGTTCCCGGCATCGTCATCCTGGAAAGGGGTGGCGAAAAAATCGGTATCGTGTCCGCTTTGGCCGAAGACACGGTCGATACATCCTCACCGGGCGATGGTGTCCGCTTCATTCAGGCTGAAGACTATCTGAAAGGTGCCGTTGAGGGTCTCGAGGCTGCCGGCGTCAACAAGATCATTGCAGTCACTCACATGGGCTTGCCACGGGATATGGAAATTGCCGCGGCCGTTCCCGGAATTGACGTGATCGTCGGAGGACATTCTCACACGCTACTTTCCAACACGCAGGAAGGTGCGTCAGGTCCCTATCCGGTTCTTGTTACAAATCCGGAAGGCAAGGAAGTGCCCATCGTTCAGGCGTATGCCTACGGAAAGTTCCTTGGCGAACTTGATGTCACCTGGGACGATGACGGCAATCTCCTCAAGGCCGAGGGCGAACCGATTCTGCTGGATGCGTCCGTGACACCGGATGAAGGCTTCGCGGCCCGGGTTGCAGAACTGGCTGCGCCGATCGAGGAACTGAAGGGCAAGGTCATCGGATCCAGTGAAGATGTCATCGACGGTGACCGCGGCTCCTGCCGCGCTGGCGAGTGCCAGATGGGCAATCTCGTTGCCGACGCCATGCTTGACCGTGTCATGGACCAGGGTGTCCAGATCGCAATCCAGAACGGTGGCGGTTTGCGCGCCTCCATTGATGGCGGTGAAGTCACCATGGGTGAAGTCCTGACGGTCCTGCCGTTCCAGAACACCCTGTCCACTTTTCAGCTCAAGGGAGCGGACGTCGTAACGGCGCTGGAAAACGGTGTCTCCCAGGTCGAGGATGGCGCGGGTCGCTTCCCTCAGGTTGCCGGTCTGAAATACTCGTGGACGCGCAAGAAGGATCCTGGCGCCGGGCGTGTCCTCGTTGTCGAAGTCATGGAAGACGGTAATTGGGTGCCGCTTGATCCGGACAAGGTCTATGGTGTTGTCTCCAACAACTACATGCGCGGTGGCGGTGACGGCTACAAGGTTTTTGCCGAAAGCGGCATGAATGCATATGACTTCGGGCCCGGACTGGAGGCGGTGGTTGCCGACTACCTCGCAGCGCGCAACGACTATGCGCCCTACACCGATGGCAGGATCACCGAACAGTAAAGTGTTCCCCCGAACGCCAATTGAAACGCGCCGCATGCCGGCGCGTTTTTTTTTCGGTGTTTGGCGTTACGAGAAACGAAGCCTGTTCAACCCGGTACCGGCAGAACGAAGTTCTGTGCGCACCGATTACCCCTGGCCGGGTGTAAATGCCCTGATATTGCATGTGCCGGAACGGATAGGTACCCGGCGCTGTTGACGCGCGCGCACGACAATCTCGTGATGTGCATCCATGCAATCACCTCATCCCGCTCGAATTTCGCCATGTCGCAAAAAAATACGTGTTTTCAGCATCTTGAACTGAACTGTGGTTTTCCCCAACCCTGCTGGCAGGAGCGGGCAAAAAACTTTGCCAGAGTGCTGGACAAGGTCTGAACCAGCCTCTATAAGGACCGGGCTTTCAGCGAACGGGGGCTTTTCCCGACCCAAGCAAAGCGCGCCCAGATAGCTCAGTTGGTAGAGCAGCGGATTGAAAATCCGCGTGTCGGTGGTTCGATTCCGCCTCTGGGCACCACTCAACTTTCTGAATTTCCTTGCCTTTTTGTTTGCGTGCACTGTTCAAGCCTATTGGTTTGACAGTTTTGACTCGTCGTTTGCTCACTTCTGCCCCAAAGACCTTCCCAACACTGGCCATTTTACGCCTCAGATCCGCGCTCCTTCAGGAGTGCGGGGCCTTTGCTTCGGTCATCTGTCCAGGTCCGTCTACGGCAGCGCGTTCGTCCAACCCGGTTTCCCTGAGATTTGTCGCCAAGACGTGTCGCAAGCCAGAAAGCGTCAGGTCGGGCTGCACTCTGCTGTCCGCTTGCAGCGCAAGGCGCATATTGCGCCAGCATGCCCCGAAGCCCGAAACCGTCCACGAGTGACCTGCAAATAGCGTAACTGCGTCAGTTGCCGGCGCTGCTTCCACCGCATCCCTTGATGGTTCGATCACAGGCCAACAGACTGGATGCGCTCTAGAATCGCTCGGTTGAGATCGCTCCAGCCTTGCAAAAGGATTTGGGTAGTGTCGGCGCTGAAGTACCCCCAGGAATGCGGACACTCACTTAGTTTGCCATTTTCTGTCTGCTGTTCTTCATCACCAGGGAGATTGGCAATGTCGAAACGGAAGCAGCATTGCCCGGAGTTCAAAGCCAGATCACCACTTGGCTCTTGGACGGGTGTCCAGCGCAGTCAGTCCATGTCCTTTGTCTGGACGGATCGTCTGCGCCGAAACTTCATACGCATTTCGATGGATGGAGTTCTACAATCTTAAACGCCCCCATTCCGCTCTTGGCGGCCAGCTTCCAGCAGCGGTCCATTGGCTGCGAAAGAATGAAATCCAACCAGGACAGCGGAAACAAGGAGCAGTTCAATTTACGATAAACTTGTCACGTGATTGGTGAGTAGCTCACTGTTCAGCTTTGACATGCGGCGGTGTCGGAACAAGTTGATGTCATCCGGAAACAACTTGTGGGCCCGGAATGAGCCATTGGCTTTCAATTTCCAATGTGGAGCCTGCAGACAAAATCTGGCTCGTGAAACGAACCAGGCTTCGGGCTGGTTTTCGTGGAGACGAGAGACGCTAATCATAGCTTTTGAGCGATAGACGACCCTCATGCGAGATTTCAAAAACACGATTCGCGCGTTTGCGCAAAACGGTTTCGTTGTGAGAAATCAGCAGAACTGCAGAAGAAAATTGTGACGAATATTCAGCTATGACGTCGATTGCGAGCCGTTGTATGGACATGTCGAGGCGTGAAGAGGGTTCGTCACAGACTAGAAAACTTGGTTGAGCCAATAGCACGCGTATGATCGCAAGACGCTGCAACTCTCCACCACTCACTTGATCCGGCCGCCGCAGGAGCAAATCATCCGTCAATCCAAGCCTCGACATCAATTCGGTTCTGATATTGGCTCCGGCACTTTGCGGCGTGAGTTTGTCGAACACGTCCCGCAAAACAAGGTTTGGTGGAAAGGACGTTACGGGGTTTTGAAACAGCTTCTGGAACTTTGTGCGTCGCTTCCGGATCAACGCGGAATTCAGGTCTGAGCCAAACCATTGCACTGTCCCCGACTGCGGTTTTTGCAGTGCGAGACAGAGATCTCCAAAGGTGGATTTCCCGGAACCGCTCGGACCCAGTAGACCGACGATTTCGCCGCCATCGATCTCCATCGTTGCTTCACTGAGGATTGGGTTGGTGCGCCGATAGCCAAAGGTGACATCTTCCAGACGCACGACAGGGCAATGTGGTTTTTGCGGTGTTGCGGGAGCCGTTGGCCAGTTTTGCGGTGCGCTGCGGATCAATTCACGCGTTGCCTCACTTCGCGGGTTGGTGAGCACCTGACTGGCCAGCCCCTGTTCGGCAATGTGGCCATCCCCCAAAACGATGATGTCGTCGGCCAGAGCACTCGCCACCTCAAGATCGTGGGTAATGACAATCAGGCCGCGACCGGACGTCCTGAACCGGCCAAACAAGTCGATAATCCGCTTCTTGTTGCCACCGTCGAGCCCTTTTGTCGGCTCATCGGCGATGACAAAACTGGCACGCGCGACAAGTGCCATGGCGATCATGATACGCTGTTGCATTCCGCCGGAAAGCTGGCCGGGGATCTTTTTCAGATCATCCTTGTCGAGACCAACCTCCGCGCTGATCGCGCCTGGCGACTTGCAGGAACACGCAGGGTCGCCCCGCCAACGGAACACTTCAGCCAACTGTTTGCCGACAGGCAAGGTTGGATTGAGTGCAAGTGCCGGTTCTTGCGGAAGGACAAAGACATGGTCTTTCCAAAGTGGTCTCTCTGCGGGGGAGCCATTGAGACAAACATCTCCGGTCATGGCCATCCCGGGAACCGGCAATCCTGAAAGTGCAGCTGCAAGGAGTGACTTTCCCGAACCTGACCGCCCGACAACACAACAGGTTTTTCCCTGCTTGAAACGCAGGTGTGGAACATCCAGCGACAATTGTCCTGCAGACAGTTTGAGATTGCGGGCCTCAAGACAATGCATCAATTCAAGCCCGGTTTGGCTTTGGGCATTGATTGCGACAGGATAAGCAAGGCGAGCACTACCCAGACTATCGCGAACACCGGTGCTGCCAATTGAACGGGTGAAATTTGCCAGTAGACGCGAAGATCATTGATCATCATGCCCCATTCCGCCTGGGGTGGTGCAATTCCGACGCCGAGAAATCCAAGAGTGGCAATCGCCAGAACGATGCGCCCGACGGAGATTGCCCCCAATGACAAGAGGTAAGGCAGGATCACGGGCAGAACCTGCAGGCGGAAAATTGTCCCCCCGCTGGCACCTGCGAGGCGGGATGCAAGCACATGGTCGCTGTTCACAATTTGCTGCCCCACGGAATAGGACAAACGAAAGTATTCTGGCCAGGCGACGATCCAGAGTAGAAAAACGATCACCATCGCACCACCGCCCAGAACATCTGCCAGGAGAAGTGTTACCAACAGGCCTGGAAGGGCGTAGACCGCATCGGATAACATCACGAGTGAGGTGGAGATCATTCCGCCAGACCACTGCGCGATCCCGGCCAAGATGCACCCCAGGGCAATGCTGAAGACAACAACGGCAATTGCAATGCCGGCTGAATATCGCGCACTATGAAGCAGCCTTGCGAGGACGTCACGACCAAGCTGATCTGTGCCCAATGGGTACTGCGCGTCAGGCGGTGAAAGAACCGAGAGCAGGTTTTGTGCATTGGGGTCCACTGCATATAGCAACGGCCCGAAGGTGGCTGTCATGACGAACAAGAGCGTCAGTGCAATGCCTAGTTTCCAGGGCCTACGCGCTTCGCTGACATGAGACATCACGCGGCCTTGTGACGATAGATACGCCACGTCAAAAGGTCGCTTAGTGTTGTGCAGCAAAGATAAAACAGCACGAGCGCCAAAACGAGACCCTGCATCAGCGGCACATCCAGCGCTTTGACCGCGTTGATCAGCGCCCAGCCCAGACCGTGATAGTTGAAGACCGTTTCGATAACGATCACATCGTAAATCAGGAACATGAAGACCACGGGAAGATAATTCAGCACTGGGCGCAGCGCATTTTTCAACCCATGCCGCCAGAATAACTCTCGCTCCGGAACGCCGCGTATCAAGGCGTGCAGCATAAAGGGTTGCAAACGGACATCAATGACGGCTGTCCTGACGACGCGGCTCAGCAAACCGGAAATCGATAGGGCAATCGTCAGAACAAGCACCCAGAGACGTGCCCATCCTGATGTGCCGCTGAGTGTTGCAAGGCCGAGTTCGACCACGAAAAGTTGCACCATGACGATAGCAACGAGGAAAGACGGAATTGTAGAGATGGCGGCACTAAAGACCGTCAATATCGTGTCCAGGTGGCTGCCTGCAAAACGCGCGCAGACATATCCGGTTGGAACCGCCAGGGCGACACCTGCGATGAAGCCCCAGAAAACGGTTCGCAAAGAATTCTGACCGTGGTGCGCGATATCGTGCACCACGTCTCGCCCGGTCACGAGCGAGACGCCAAAATCCAGTGTCAGTGTTCCGGCCAACCAATCGGCATATTGAACCAGTATCGGGCGGTCCAGCCCATAGGACTGACTGACCACCTCCGCCAGTTGCTGATTTGGTTCAGTGCCGGAAAACCTCGCTGCCGCGATCTGCATGGCAATGTTTTCCGGAAGGAGATGCACAGCCCAAAATGAACACGAAGCGACAAGCAACGTGATGGTCAGGATGAGCAGTGCCTTCCTCGCCAAAAGTACGGCAAGCGTCATTCAGCAGACTACTCCGCCCAGGTCAGACGATTGAGGCCGAAATCTCGTTCGTAAACGTCGAACGTGAAATTCGATACATTCTTCGAAACCGCATAAACATCGTCATACCAGGTGACCGTCACCATGGGATGTTCCTCATGGATCATCGCGACCATATCGGTACGAAGCTGCGCCAGCTTTTCCGGATCAACCGTTCTTTGATACGTCTCGACCAATGCGTCAAACTCGTCGTTGTTCCAGTTCATGGAACCCCAGAAGCCCCCGCTCTTGTAAAAGTTCTCGCTCAAGGCTCCGATTGGATCGGGAACGTACACGAAGCTGTCTGAAACAATGCCAGCCTCCAGCGTTCCATCGGTGTGCCCGTCCGATATGACGGTCCAGTCGCCTTGCTTCATCGTGACTTCAATGCCGACTTCCTTGAGCATGCTTTGGATCGCAACGCCAATGACGGGAAGCTCCGGGCGCGAGTCATATGTCCGCATTTCGATTTCAAAACGGTCGCCGTCACGGATCAATATGCCGTCATCGCCCTTTGTGAAACCAGCACTGGCCAGCAATTCTGCGGCTTTTGCAGGATCATGGGAAAAAGGCTCGAGCGATGTATCGTGCCATGCGGGCAGGCTGGCCGGGAATAACTGGGATGCCGCCGTGTCTGGATTGCCGACAATGGAGGACGCGATACCTTTGCGGTCAATTGCGTAGCTGATGGCCTGACGCACCACGACTTCGTCCAGCGGAGCCAGGCCTCCATTGAGCTTGAGTGCCCTAACGCGCGGGATTGCTTGAATTTGCACTTGCACACTGTCCGCGCTTGCAAGCATTTTTGTCGCTGTGACCGGTAAGCTGAACGCAAACTCGACTTCACCCGCTTGGGCCATGGCTTGACGCGCCTGGGCATCGGGAACGAACAGGTACTCGACCTTGCCGATCGTCGCCTTCTTGCCCCAGTAATCATCATTCGCCGATAGCTTCAGCATTGTCGGGTCGGAAGCATCGGTAACAGAAAATGGTCCGGTTCCCGCGACGCTGTCGCCTGTCTCATCAGTCAGGTTCGCTGCAGAAACAATCCCGGTGTTCCAGTCCGCCAGAACCGCGGGCAAGATGGAATACGGACGATCAAGCTTAACGACGACTTCGTCACCTTCGAAAGCGATGTTCGTAACTGGGGCGGTTCGCAAGGAGCTTTGCTCCTGGAATTTGGTCAGATTGGCAGCGACTGTCTCCGCGGTCAAAGGGCTGCCATCGTGGAATAAGACACCCGAGCGAATTTTGAACCGCCATTCCGTCAACGTGTCGTTTGGGATCCAGCTTTCGGCGAGCAAACCAACAATTTCGCCGTCGGTAGTCGGCATTGTCAGCGTTTCAACAACACCTGTGCGTGATAGCGCTGTGCTGGCGGAAGGGATTAGAGCACCGATCTTCCACGGTGACGCAATACGGATCGTGTCGTCGGCTGGACCTGCATGACCTGGTGCCGCTGTCAACGATATCACTGCACCAGTCACGGCAGCGGCAAGGAAAAAGTGTTTCATCGAATGGGTTTCCTCAGTCTTGCAAAGATAAAAAATCAACGCAATGGACGCCCTGGATAGACGTCGCCAATTTTCAGGAAACGCTCTACGGGAGTTGTAACCGCGCGATTGTCTTGGTTTTTTGGGAAGGCTGGCTGGACCTGTCGAGATCACTGCTTGCATGCGTAAATTAGCCGATGGCTTCGGTAATGTAAATGGAGCGGTGTACTGCTGTTGGTTGATCAGAGATGGAATTCCAGGACGCCCATGCGCCTGAATAACCAAGTTGCCAAAATCGGTTGTTGTTGGTGTGCGGTTGGTGATCGGCAGGCACGCCCAAACTGTTTCAAGCGATGGTGTTGCCGGTAGAACCGGTTTGTTCACGCCAGTTCGTTTCAGGTAGAACAACGTCCTTCACATCCGCAAGATCGCATTGATCAATGCCGATTGGTTTCGGTTGCTTCTGGTGCTGTTTCGCGATGCGGGTGTCTGACCGTTTCCTTGCGCGAGCGCGCAATGAGCACGCTCAGGGAACCAAACGTCATGACGCTGCCCCAGAAGACTGTCATTTGCGTTGAATGACTTGGAGCGAGCCATCCGAAAGAGACGGCGAGCGTCTCCATTGCAAAGGTCAAAAAAGGCAGCCCGGCCATTGCGGCAATGTATTTTTCTGTCCGAACATGGTGGATCGCTTTCAGCGCCAGAAACAGTGATGGCCCCCGCAACACGATGCCAACCAAGGTCGCTGAAATCCACAAGGCTGGATTGAACACCTCCGAAGGATCTGTCATCCGGGTAAGTGTTTCGGGAATTCCAGACTGAAGGTCAGGCAACCACTGTGCGACGAAGCCAAAACCTGTTGCCAGGATCAGCATGACAAAGGCACTTGCAAGAAGCATGATGCCGGTAAGGCGGGCGCGTTGGCGCGTATCACTGGTTTGGTTCAGCGGATGAAATTCTGCGATTAGCGTCGATGCGACGACGCAAAGCTCTGACAAGATCATCAGAACAATGGCCGGATTTCGCCAGCCGTCATCCAGGCTTCCGGCAAGAAACACGAATCCGAAAAGGACAACGCAGTGGCCGGGTAACTCGATCCGGGATGGTTGACGAGACAAGATCAGCCAAAGCACAGCCAGGCTGATTGGAACTGACACGATGCCCAGAGAGCTGGCTCGGGAAATTTGCACAGCTGGGATAAGTGGAATTTCTGCCTGACTTTGGCTTAGATGCCGGAAACAGGAGAGACGATGACGAGACGACCGCGCCGGAACCACAGCCCGGCTTTCAAGGCGAAAGTTGCGCTTGCCGCGATCAAAGGCGAGCAGACACTGGTGGAACTGTCCCAGCAGTTCGACGTGCACGCCAACCAGATCAAGCAGTGGAAAGACCAGCTTCTTACGGGAGCGACAAGCGTTTTCGGCGATGAATCGAAGGCGGTACCGGCAGGGCCGACCGTCGATGTCAAAACGCTGCATGCCAAGATCGGGGAGCTGACGCTGGAGAATGATTTTTTAGCCGGAGCGCTCGGCAAGGCGGGATTGCTGAGCGGAAAGAAATGATCGACCGCGAGCATAAGCTATCGGTTGTGCGCCAGGCAAAGCTTCTCGGCTTCAGCCGTGGCAGTGTCTATTATCTGCCTCGTCCGGTGTCTGAGAGCGATCTGGCTCTGATGCGCCGGATCGACGAACTGCATCTCAACTACCCGTTCGCGGGAAGCCGGATGTTGCAAGGGCTCTTGAATGGAGAAGGGCTGAGTGTCGGGCGGCTTCACGTCGCCACGCTGATGAAGAAGATGGGCATCGAGGCGATCTATCGCCGCCCGAACACCTCGAAACCAGCGCCAGGTCACAAAATCTATCCCTATCTCCTGCGAAGGCTGGCGGTCACCCGGCCCAACCAGGTGTGGGCAATGGACATAACCTACGTTCCGATGGCTCGCGGTTTTGTCTACCTCTGTGCCGTTGTGGACTGGTTCAGCCGGAGGGTTCTGTCGTGGCGGCTGTCGATCACTATGGAGGCAGCCTTCTGCATCGAGGCAGTCGAGGAGGCACTGGCTCGCTATGGCAAGCCAGAAATATTCAACACTGACCAAGGTTCGCAGTTCACTTCCATCGACTTTACGGCGGTGCTGAAGAAAGCTGAGATCGCCATCTCGATGGACGGCAAGGGCGCTTGGCGGGACAATGTCTTCGTCGAGCGGCTTTGGCGGTCTATCAAATACGAGGAAGTCTACCTCCACGCTTACAAGACCGTGTCCGAGGCCCGCGCTGGCATCGGCCGCTATCTGACCTTTTACAACACACGACGCCCACATTCATCCCTTGACCGGCAGACGCCGGATCAGGCCTACTTCAACGCGCTGACGCCGATGATGGTGGCGGCATAATCGAGGCGGAAATCCACTTAGCAAAACGCCCCGAACTGTTCAGACAAACCGAGCCACCTCTCAGGAACGCTGCATTATACGTCGATGTATAGGTCAGTGCAGCGGTGAAGAAGGCGGCGGTGGCCACCCGCAGTCCACCGTAAAGCCAGGTAAACGGGTCACTCAACGCATCGGCAAAGCCTTTGCCGCGACCTGCAATGGCAATCAGGAAAATGCCGCCGGCCATCATCTGAATGAGTGTGAACAACCAGGGGTCGACAGGCCATGCGAATAGGATAACGCGGCTGGTCACAAGCAGCAGTGCCCAGCTGGCAAGCGAGGCACCAAGGACCAGAAAAGACGCAAAACTCATGATCCGGACATCTACCAGTCGAGTGCTGTTGCGACATAGTCGGGGACCGGGGGTGATCCGGCGTATTTTCGTTCGACCAACCCTTCTGTTTCCTGCAATCCGTGGATGCCTGTCTTCACCAAAACAGAATTGAGACCCTGACGATTGGCGCCCGCAATATCGGTTTCCAATCCATCACCGATCGCGAGGATGCGGGCACGCGTCAATGATGGCCGCAACTGTTGGAGCTTGTTGATGCATGCGTGGTAGATTGCAGGTTCTGGTTTGCCAAACTGAAGGACGCGCCCGCCAAGATATTGATAACGCTCCGCGAGCGCTCCGGCGCATGGCACGGTCTTCGCGCCGATCCTTACGATACGATCAGGATTGGCACAGATGAAAGGCAAATCCCTCTTAAGCCACTCGACCAGGAGGCGGTCGTGCGCCTCAACCGAATTTAATGTCTCCAGCATGCCGGTGCACACGATGGCAGTCGCCTCTTTGAGACTACGGCACTCTTGCACACCGGATTGAGCCAGAATTGTCCGGTCACGGTCTGGACCAATATAGAGTACCCCGCCGTCGCCGGTCTGTCCTTCTGCCCTCCATCGCCCGGACTTCAAGGCGAGATGGCATGCCTCACCCGCGGTAAGGAGCACATCATAACAGTCAACATCAATTCCGAGACCTGTAAGGTGGCGCGCAAGTGCATGAGATCGTCTTGCGGTGTTTGACAGCAGCGCGACCGGGCCTATCGCTCGTAGATGCCTGAGCGCATCAACAGCTGCGGGAAAGGCTGAAACCCCGTCACAAACAACGCCCCAGACGTCTACGATAAAGGCGTCAAAATGTGGAGCGATCAAATCGACGCCAGCGTGCACGCAGCCAGCGGCAGCAGAGTTCGAAACAGAAAACTTGTTCATGTGCCACCTTCATGCACGGTGGCCTGATCGTGGTTTTTTTCCCTTGGACCGACGACCTTTAAGATTGCGGGCAGCATCCGCTCAATCATTGCCTCTTGGATCATTGTTCTGCCGTGTAGGAACATCTGGTTGACTGGAGCCTCCGGCGCGTTGTTTCCGTTCGAGAAAGATGTGGCTGCAATCGGAAGGGCGCTCTCCTTGCGAATCGGAAGGGCGCTCTCCTTGCGAAGATGGCTGCGAACCCCATCCACAACGGCACGGCACTCTGTTTCAGAGGAATAGAAATAGGTTTCCGACAATCCTACCGAGGCGAAACAGATCCTTATCTCGCATCCGTCGAGTCCGCTCGAGAAGGCGGGTGAAACAGCGACCCGTGCCTCGCTCAAAAAGAACCGTGTGACGTCGACATTGTTGCGGATCTTGCCTCCCGACCAATGACACCCCTTGAGCGCATCGCAAGACAGAAGCAGGGAGTGACCGGCTCGTGGGCGATGGACGAGCCTAAATCCCGGGACGTTAGGTGCGTGTCGGTGGAGTTCAGTGTTCCAATGTGCAATGCAGTCCTGAATCAACTTCACCCTGCGTAGACATTCCTTTGCGTTTTCATTGAGGAATTTGCGATCATCATCCAGCGCCGCCAGGGCCATTATTTTGTTCAATCGCGGTACCGAGATGATCGTGCTGACAGAATACCGCCGCATCTCCTCGATCAGTTGCCTGGGGCCGCAAGCCCAGCCAATTCTTATATTTGCAAGGTTGTGTGATTTGGAAACACCGCCCAAAGTTACAACGCGATCAGTCATGCCGTCTTGTGCCGCCAAATACGCGGCGGGTGGAGAACCAGGGAACTCTGTGGAGGCAAAAACGTGATCCGCCAATACGATGAGGTCGTTGTCCGCAATGAACCGGGCCAGATCAGATAACTCTGCCGATGAGTAAAGGCCTCCAGTCTGCGTCGGATTGAACAAGAACAACCCCCGGGGCTTACGTTGGCGGCCTGTCGCCACGTTCTGCTCAAACCAGGCTTCAAGGGCTGGAACTGTCAGTTTGTAGGCTTCATGAGGCGACGTCGGTACGCAGACCAGTTCGGCCCCAAAACACGCGCACCAATCCGGCAACGAATGATAGTAGGTCGGCGCTGCCAGGAACAGGTCACCTTGTTCTGCCGCACAATGCAGGAATGCACCGAACAGTCGTGTTGTTCCGCATTCGATGCAAATATTGTCTGCGCTCTCCGCCGGAATGCCTGCTTGTCTGAAATTCTGCGAAACGCGGTCTTCCAGGGCCTCGAACCGCTGAAGAAACAGATAGTCGTCAAAAGCACACAATGCCGGGTCGAGCAGTGCCTCAACACCGGCACGCAGCGCTCCTGGAGGCGGGCGGCGTGTCCCGTCCCCATGGGCAAGCGAGATCACTCCCGCGTCAAACATCCCCGGATGAATCTTCCCGCCTTGCTCGTCTGTCCCGGCCAAGGCCAGGCGACAGTCTTTTAGTCGGTCCAATGGAGTGCTCTCGCACTCTTGTCGCGGCGAAACCATCCATTGCCCCATAATTCAGTGCACCAAACCGTTTCGCTCAAGGAAGTGCTGATATCGTCCGCTCAGGTCCTTGGCGACTTCGTGAGCATCAGCAAGCCGTAGTTCGTCACACTGATGGCCGAAAAGGTCGTACATGGCAGCCATCTGCTCCTCGGCGAACCGGACGTTGCCGTGCTTGTCGATACTTTCTATGCCGTCATGGATCTGGCCGGTTTCATTGACGCTTACCGCTTCCTCCAGCGAAATGTTCTGCGGCAAGGATACCTCGCACTCCGCTTTGCTGATCCAAACAGGATAGCCACCAGGTAGTCCGTTGGGACCGGGTGCGTGAACAAGCGTTCTCGTGCGACCTTGCAGGGCCTCAAGCACCGCAACCGCCGAAGACGCTGTCACAGGTTGTCCTTCGACACCGCCGGTTCTGCGATGGCGCTCGGTTAGCGACCTGAAAACCGCATTTTGATCTAAGCTGCCGGTGACGTCCGTGCCGTTGACTGAAGCGTGAAAAAAGACCGGTGCTCCATCAGGGTGACCAAGGCGTGACAAGCGATAGCTGACATAGTGATGCCCGCAAATGCGCACATCCACATCCTGCACTCTGGCATTGAGCTGTTCTGCGACCGCCAGGCGCAGGGCAGGGACGACATTCGCGATATTGCCGATACCAACGGTGGGTCCGAGCCCATTACGTGCCAAAACAGGATTGACCGCATCCGGGAACGCTGCATTCACGACAATTGCATCGTTTTCGCATTGCCGGAGGGCCTCCATCAGGGAAAGAGTGGGGGACAGGTGCATTGGAAGCCAGGGGCCGAAGCGCGTTTCGGCAACCTTGCTCCTTACTTCGTCCGGCAAAGTGGTGACCACCCACCACGACTGCATTGAAGCGGTATTGAATATGACGGCGGGGGATACCTTGGATATCGAAGCTGCCGTTTGATGGATGTTGTCGAGGTCCAGATGTATAGCTTCGATGTCTACATCGTAGCCAATATTCAAAGCGTGTTGTTGCAGTGTATTTGCTTTTCGACTCGCCCGTTCTATGTCGCGAGATCCTATGACGATCTTTTTGTATCGTGTGCCATGACTTAGGATGTAAAGAACATGACCAGCAAGAACACCATTGCCGACGATCAAAAGTGTCTCTTCGCGCATCCGAGCCTCTCTTTCGATTTGGGGGAGATACACGTATAGGTAATTAATTGTTGAGTAATAAAGTCATATTTTTGACAGTGGTCAAGAGAAATTTCTCTCGTCAAAGGCGAAATTTATAAACTATTGATTCCATTGTGTTTAATAATAAATATAGGTCATTTTTAGCGTTTTGATCGTAATTTTCACAGTTTTATCAATTTTTACGTGTGCAAAATGTTGCGCCGAGATTTGCAGATACGACATCTGTGATCGAGGTGTTGCTAAACAAGTTCTACTTAAGGTTTAGCTCGGTATTTCGGAGGGATGGCCTTGGTCATGAAAAGGGTTTTTTGGCATCAGGATGCAAACTTTCTTCGACGAGGATGCTCCTGTGACCGCGACTGGTCCGCACCCTGACAGAGCGCGAGCGACTACCTGCTAAAAGAAGCTTGAGCTCAATCAGACTGAGTGACTGCAGAATGCTCAGTGGAGCTGGTCCTGCAATGAGCGTGAAACTCTACTCGGAAAACCCACAACGGCAGATTTCTTCAGATCCAAGAAATTCACCCTGATCCCAACGGACGTCGGCTTTCGAGGGTCATGTTTTGACGCATGGAATATCGGAGTTGGTGACGCGAAGCCGCCGCTTGTTCCAAATGCAGAAATGGTCAGATTTGAGCTCAGTGTGACCGATGCTGCCGGTTGAATGAACTTCCTGGCAAGACCATGATCAGGCCTTGCCAGGCATATTACGTTTGTTCGATTATTGAATGCCGACTTCAAAAGCAGGTTTTCAACCAGTCACAGAAGGCTGTGGAGACCTGGGAGCCTGCCGAACGGATTTTGCGTTGCAGGAAGTAGTGGGCCTGACCTGTATCAACCGGGTCACCGACAATTCTAATCTGGCGACCGGCCGCGATGGCCTGCTGCGCGAAACGGTCGATCATGATGGTGCAGCCGTTCTCGGCGGCCACTAGTTCGCAGGCGGCAACCGAGGTATCGACGACGAGGCGTGAGGATATGTCTGCATACGGAAGGCCATGGGACGACAGATAACGCGCCCAATGGTCGTCGAATCCCAGCACGTGGATGGTGTTGCAGGTCATGAGATCCTTGGGCATTTCGATCTTTTTTGCAGTGTGAAGACCGCAAACCGGTACGATGTATTCATCTGACAGCTTGACCATGCGCGTGTCGGATTGGGATTGCGCGGCCAGCAGGATGTCGACGTCCACCGGATGCCCTTCTCGGTCGTTCTGCCAAAGCGATGTGACGAGTTTTATCCCGATGCTCGGATTAGCTTTCTGAAAGGACGCAAGTTGCGGAGACAGCCAGATGATCATGGCCGCAGACGCCCGCACGACTATTGTTGTTTCTTGTGCCGGCCCGAACAGCCCGTTTGTGGAAAATGCGATGTGCTCCAACGAGTCCCGAACCGAAACCAAATAGGCTCGACCGATTTCCGTCAGTTGCAGGCTTTTGGCCTTACGAATGAACAGGTTCTGCCCAAGCTGACCTTCCAATGCCTTGATGTGCTGGCTGACAGCCGTTTGTGTCAACCCCAGCTCTCGACTGGCGGCGGTAAAGCTCAGGTGACGTGCGGCGGCTTCAAAGGTCCGCAGCCAATTCAGATTGAGATTGCCCTTCATCGCTTACTCATAAGTTTTTTATGTGCATGGAGGCAAATTCTTTCGTTTTTCTTCATCTCATTCGGCGGCTACACAGGAGTAACCCGAGGCGAAGACGGCCGGACGCAAAGGAGCAAGCTATGCCGGAGATCAATCGAGACCCAGATGCCGACATGGTTTTGAGCCTTGTGGACCTGGTGCGCTATCCCATCGCGGACCTGGAAAGCGGCAAAGGCGCTGCGTTTCTGAAGGCCTGTCAGGACCAGATGGAGGAGCACGGCTGGTGCAATCTGGACGGGTTCGTCCGCCCCGAGGCCCTGGAAGCTTTGGCCGGGGAATCCAACGCTTTGTTGCCGTGCGCCGAGGTTCTGACCATCAAGCGCAACATCTATCAAGGCGCGATTGATCCGACGCTGCCCAAAGATGACCCGCGCCGGAAGGAATATACACATGTGGCGACGCAACTGGCGGATGATCAACTGCCGGATGACACGCTCATTCAACGGCTCTATCAGTCCGAGCTTCTGACTGATTTCGTTCGCCGTGTGCAAAAGAAAGAGGTGCTCCATCGCTGTGCCGATGAATTCCAGGCGCTGAATGTCGTCGCCCTGCACCCCGGCAGTTGGCATGCCTGGCACTACGATACGACGGAATGCACCGTGACGCTGCTGCTGCAAGCGGCTGAAACCGGGGGTGAATTCGCTTTTCTGCCGAACTCGCGCACCGCTGAAACCGAAGACCGCGAGGCTGTTGATCGGTTGCTTGCCGGTGATATGTCCCATGCAAAGACATTCGGTCGTAGCGCCGGCACATTCACTCTGTTTCGCGGCGGCTACTCTTTGCACGGGGTGACCGAAGTCGAAGGGGCGATCCCGCGCGTCACTGCCATCATGACCTACGACGAACAAGAAGGCCGAGTGATCAGCGACGACATCAACATGCGCATCTATGGCGATCGCGTCAAAAAGATCCTCGCGGATCGCGCAGCTACCAGCATCAACGCATAAAGGACCAAGCCATGAAAACCGCTCTTCTCGTCATTGATGTACAAATGGCGCTGGCCCACGAGGATGCCACCGGTGCCGTACGGTCTTGCCCGGAGGCCGCTGACAATATCGGTCGGCTTTTGGACGAGTTCCGCACGAAGGGTGACAAAGTCATCCATGTGCATCACCACGGTCTTGACCCGGAGGACCCTTTTCACGTCGATGCACCAGGTGCGGCAGTCCAGCCTTTTGCAGCACCACGGGGTGACGAGGCCGTGATCATCAAACACGTCTCCAGCGCCTTTGCGGGAACCTCGCTTGAGGCGGATCTGCGTGCTGAAAATATTGAGCGCGTGGTTATCTGCGGGGCCACGGCCAATCATTGCGCTGAATCCGCCGCACGCTCGGCAAGCAGTCTGGGCTTTGAGATGGTCTATGCCTCCGACGCGGTCTGGGCCTACGAGGCGATTGGGCCGGATGGCGTAAGCCACAGCGCCGAGCAGATACACTCTGTCACGCTTGCAAACCTGCATGGTGAGTTCGGTGCGGTACACTCCACCGACACCATTCTGAACGCCTAGAAAAAACACATAAACCTGAGGACGGCGCACATGCGGATTGGATTTATCGGGCTTGGCACCATGGGCGGACCGGCTGCCTTGAACCTGATCAGGGGAGGGCATGAACTCACTGTCTGCGATCTTGATCCGAAGCGGGCGGAGGAGCATCTCTCCCTTGGCGCAACCTGGGCGGATAGCCCGGCGGCAACTGCGCAAGGTGCGGAATTGGTGTTCACCATGGTCTTTGGACCCAGGCAGATCGAGCAGGTGGTAGGCGGAGATCACGGGCTGCTGTCCGCCATGTCCGCCGGTCAGGTCTGGGTGGATATGACGACCAACAAACCCGCCTATGTGCGCGAGCTCGCAGCCACTTTCGCAGAGATTGGCGTGCAGGTGATCGATGCACCGGTCACAGGGGCCGTGGACGGCGCGCGCGCTGGAAATATGACCCAGTTTGCAGGCGGCGACGAAGCGACGGTTGCGCGTATTCGTCCTGTGATGGAGTTGATGGGGCCGCTTCACTACATGGGCGCCAACGGCAGCGGGTCCATCACGAAACTGGCGAGCAACCAGCTTTGGGCCATCCATGCGACAGCCATGGGCGAAGCCCTTGTGATGGCGGTGAAATCCGGTGTCGAACTGTCCCGTGCCTGGGACGCGCTCAAGATCGGTGCCAGTGAAAGCTGGTGCATGCACCACGATGCTCCGTCCGTTTTTGCCGGGCACTACGATCCATCCTTCACCCTCGATCTGTGCAAAAAGGATCTGGGCTTGATCGTTGAAGCCTGCAACGACGCAGACACCGCCGCTCCGGCGACACGGCTGGTGTGCGCGCAATTTGAAGCTGCGCGCGAAAAATACGGCGGTGACAAGGGCGAACTGCATGTGGTGAAACTTGAAGAAGACGCCGCAGGCGTTTCTCTGCGTCTCGATGGGGATTGGGTTCCACATTGGGAAAAATAGAACGACGCATTTCTTTTGGCGTGCTTTCCAGAAGTCGGGCGCAACACTTCGCTCCGGTCTCAGATCATGGTGATCTGTTCATGGACAGGAAGGACTTGGTGACGCAGATCCGGCAATCACCGGATCATTTGAGCGATGACGAACCGTCGATTGGAATGCAATTGTCAGCCGGTTTCTGCGAATGTGTATTGTCGGCTGTAGCATCCAGATCAAAGCAGCATCAGCGGTGTCATCCATAAACAGAAATCACAACAATCCCCAATGCCAGAAGGGAAGCTGCAACGAAGCGCCGAGTCATGGCACCTTCTCGTAGGAACATTCCTCCCAAGGCGACCGAAATTGGTATCGAAGCCTGTCGCAACGATGTCACCACCGCGACATCTCCACCAAGTTGGTAGGCGACAAGGATCAGGTAGTACGAGAGGTAGCAAAGAACACCTGGTAGCAGGACATAGATCGGTGAAAACGAGAATGTCGCATCTGACTGCAAGCGCGTGATGGAGCGTTTTCTGAGCCATAAAATCAGAAAAAACGGCAATACCGCGCTATCGACAGTAAACGCCAGCACCTGTGGTGCGATATGTTGCATGACATGGGCATCGGCAAGTGAGTAGATGCCGGTGCCGCACAATGCCAGCAAGGCATAAAGAAGTGTAACCGGATCATCAAGATAGTGGCTGCCGCGTCGGTATAGAAGTAGAAAACTGCCTGCAACGACCAAGCTGATGCCAAATAAAGTGAGCAACGAATAGGATTTTCCAAACAGCAAGATACTGGCTGCTACGACGAAAACAGGTGATGCGCGGATGATCGGATAGTATGTGGACAGATCGCCACGCGTTAAGGTCGCGGTCAGGCATGTTCCATAGATCAACTGGCCACATACAGACAGTGCAACGACGGGCAATACTGTAAACACCGTGGAAAAATCCACCCCTGCAATCAGACCATGAATGAGCGAGCATGCCGCGGCCACTGCCATGAGCAGGAGAAACCCGAGCTGTGGATCGGCATTCTTTTTGACAAGTAAATTCCAGATGGGGTGGAGCGTTGCAGATGCGAGTACGAGAAATACGATACTCAAGCCAATTTACCCTCCGAAATTCCAAATTCAGCTTTGTGAATTCAGTTCATGTAGAGATGGTAAAATAGTTGGCAGAAGTGACCTGTACAAAAGAATTGTCTTCATATTCTTCATGAGCTAACGTTCATGTTGATCATGTCCAGTCACCTGCCGCCACTTGCAGCGCTGCGCGCGCTTGAAGCTGCTGCCCGTCATCGCAGCTTTACCCGTGCTGCGGACGAGTTGAACGTGACGCAAAGCGCAATCAGTCATCAGATCCGCAACCTGGAAAGCCTCTGGGGGCACAAGCTTTTTGAGCGTGGTACGCGACCGCTCACCTTGAGCAAGTGCGGCGCAGAAATTGTGCCGATTGCTCGTGACTTCTTCGGAAAATTGTCAGCCACGCTTGAGAGCTTCAGTGTTGAGGATCTGCCGGGTCCTCTGAAGATAAGCACGCTGGAATCATTTGCCCTAACCTGGTTGGTACCGCGGCTCGGTGACTTCCATGAACACTATCCCGAAATCGACGTGTGGATTTCGACCAAGGACGATCTGATCGATTTTTCGGTTGAGGACGTTGATCTGGGGATCAGATTTGGCAATGGAAACTACCCTGGTCTGCACAGCAGTCTCTTGTTTCATGAATATGTTTTTCCTGTCTGCAGCACACAACTGTTGAACCGATTGGGCGTGCCTGAACACCCCATCGATCTGGCACGATTCCCGCTGCTGCAGGTAAATGACGACGCAATGAGTTCGCAATGGGAAACCTGGATCTCCGCCGCGGGCGTGCCGGAATTGCCGCTTGACGAAGGGTCACGGTTTCCCAACACGAACATGGCGTTGCAGGCGGCTGTCGCAGGGCAGGGGGTTGCGCTTGCCCGCAGTGCGCATGTGGACAGCGGCCTGAGCGCGGCAGGTCTGACGCGATTGTTTGACGTCCATTGTCCCGCAACCTCAGCTTATTATCTGGTCTGCCCGGACGGAGCTCAATCCCGCCCGCGCATCGCCGCGTTTCTGGGCTGGATTGAATCTGAAGCAGCGCGGTCGCAACAACGTTACGAGATGGAAATGACATCCATGAAGAGCGCGCGGTCAGGCAGTTGACCGGGCTGAAAAACTGCATGCGTCTTGAGAGCGGATTCTTTTCCTTTGATTGGCTCATCGTTGAGTTGCTGTCTTTCCTTCATGCGAACAACGTCTGCCGCGGATCAACAGCATCAAAACAAGTGTTCTGGTTGTTGACCCGCGGTCAGGTTCCAGGAACCGTTCAAATGAACCCGGTTGAATGGAGATTATTGCGCTTCTTCAAACAAACAATCCGTCGCTGATCCGCTCCTGGTCAAGCTGCTGGTTCAAGACGGTGAAGTCCGAGATCACTCCGTCGAAGTGATCGTTGGTCCAGCCGATTTCACCGGAGGGGCTGCCCCAGCCGTTTGCGCCGATCATCAGGTATTCCTCGTTATCAAGCCAATCGGCTTCAAACTCGTCATCCCTGGCGACTGCGACACCGTCGATAAAGAGAGCTGCACCATCATCACCGAAGGTGAAGGCGAATTCGTGTTCCTTGCCGACTTCAAAGACATCTTCACCTTTCAGCCACAGGGATTGGTTTTCGTCCTGGAAGCGAACCTTGACGTCACCGCATCCGGTGACCCAGGCGGTCAGATGGCCGCCGGTTCCATAGCCGCTGGCGTCCTTGGAAAAGAGCGCGTCGTAACCTGAAACCGTGTCTGCCTTGAAGGAAAACGCGATCGTTCCCTCGGAAATCTCCATTGCATCCGTATGAGCAATTGCGATCTGTCCGTCCCGGTTGCCCTCCAGATTCAGATCCCCCGCAATGGCAAAGACGGGTGTCATGCCTTCGGGGAGGGGGAGGTCATCCTGTGACGGGATGTCTGCGGGTGGTTCGATATCTCCCCTGTCTGTTCCCATCTCGATGGGTTTGATGGCCTCGTCGATATCTGCGATCGAGCGGACGATGCCATAGGCGGGCTTGGCCGTCGTGGAGATGTCGGAGAGCGTGATCAGGTCGCCATAGACGGTGATGGTACCCAGGTCGTCGTTGTTGTGGGCCCCGCCGCCCGATCCCTGGTCGGAGTAGAGGGAGATCAGGGAGTGATCGACGATGCCGTCGCCGTTTGTGTCTCCATAGGAGATGGATCTGATCTTGGTGGTATGTCCCTCGATCAGGATGGTGTCGCCTTCGCCCCTGTTGAAGTCGGTGATGACGTCGTTGCCGATGACATCGACCCAGTGGTCGTGGATGTTCTCGTTCTCGCCGGCAACGCCGTGCCATCTGATGGTGCCGTCATCTTGTGTGTGTTCTTCCAGGAAGCGTGCCTTGGCGTTGATGAGGGTCTGGAAGTAGAAGGTGTCTGCGCCGTCGCCGCCTGTCATGACATCGTCGGCATGCAGCGGCTGGTCCGGATAGAGCTTGCCGCCGGTGAGCTCGTTATAGGGATCGCCCTCGTCGCGGTCGGCGTCATGGGCAACGGCGCCCTCGCGTCCGTCGGACTGCGAGATCAGGAGGTCGTTGCCGGCCCCGCCGTTGAGGATGTCCTCGCCGTGCCCTCCGTCGAGCACGTCGTTGCCGTCGCCGCCATTGAGGATGTCGTTGCCGTAGGATCCCTGGAGGATGTCGTTGCCGTCATTGCCGTTGACGGTATCGTCGCCCAGGCCCGCATTGATGGCATCATCGCCGCTGGTTCCCTCGATGGTCTCGCCGGCATCTGTGCCTTCGGAATAGGTCGCTCCGGAGGTCATCTGGCCCATGTGGTTGAAGCCGTAGGCCATGGCGAGGGCCTTTGCCTCGTCGGAGCCGTGATGGAGCTGCTGGAAGGCGGGCATCAGGTCGTCCTGTGCCATGGCGGCCAGGGCGTCCGCCTCGAAGGCCGGGTCGACGGCACCGGCAAGCGCTGCCATGTCTTCGCCCTCGACCTGTTCACCGAAGACCATGACGTCTGCGATGGTGCCGTTGAACTGCTGGTGGGCG